ACAAATCTGGTGTGTATCTGCTGCTCAGGAACTTTGCTGGCTGGCAAAGCCCATTCCTGCAGCTTTCAGAGTTATCTGATCTGAGATGAATTTCAGCACTTGTTTATAGCAGCAGCAGCTCTTTGCCAGCAGCTGCCTCAGCGGGTCACATTTTGAAGCTCTGCTCTCTTTGGGCTGTGAGGTTTCCAGAGTTCTGTCTCCCAGGTGAGCATTCCCCTCTTTGCTCTTTTGCTGCTCACATGGRCAACAATCTGCAGCAGAGATTTGGCAGCGCTGTGGGCAGTTCTGTGCTTTGGTTAACCATGTCATGAGCAAACGATGGATTGAAGGGCTGCAATTCCCTGCCTTGCACCATTTCATGGGGATTACACACGTCCACTGCTCTCAGCTGTGTTTTCAGCTCAGCAAATCTCTTATTTCTGCCACAGCTCTTGAGAAGTGCAGCCCTTTTTTAGAGGTGTTTCTGGCTGGGTTTTGTTTCCCAGGTAGGTGGCTTGCTCTGTCTGTCTCTCTCAAGGCTTTTAAAAAGGCTGAAAAGTAAGGAATTTTTTTTTTTTTAATGTTGTGTTTCATACAATTCAAAAGGGCAAAACGGGAACTTTGGGGTTTTTTTTTTTCCCCTCCTCACTTGAAAAAAAATCTTACTTATGGTTTCTCAATCAGTGTATGGCATGATTGTTTCTTCTGTTTTGTGGAGAGAGAGATCCTGGAATTTTCTGTGCCTGCAGCTGAGAGCCTAAAAAGTTATAATGTCCTCTTTTTAAGCTACTTTCTGTCCTTTTTATCAACATTTTGTAAGCTGCTTTATAATAATTATGTATTTCCAAGATAACTAAATGTGAAAGTGAGAGATACAGCATGTACTTCAGTTTCATTGGGAATACTGGAAGAGTTGATTAAATATTTTAGAAGTATGCAAAGTGTGAGTTTTGAAAGCACAGTTGTGTTTGGAAATAGTCTGCTGTTCTTTGATCTGTCTGGTAGATGTATATCATAGCTGCTGCATGCCTCCTGTATTTTTGAAGTTAAAAGTTGAGTTTAAAAAAATAGCTTTAAKRAGGTAAATTATACTTACATAGTATRATGTATAGCACRTTTTAAAATTAAAAACAAGTATCTTGTTTCTTAAATAAATGTTTAGGATTAGGATATCCTARGATAAGCTCTATTTCTGTTCTATTTTTCAGTTCTTTAAGATCCTCCTAAAGCTGCTACAGCCCAAATTACCATTTTGCCTGTCTCATATTATCTTTCTCTGCTTTAAAACCAATAACATAAATTYGTATTTTCTCCTCTTACAATTGCATATTTATTCTGGCTGAATTGAAGTTGCATCATACCRCTGAAATACTCTATAATTTCTATGTAACAAAATGGTTCACATTCTTAATGAGCTGTTCACTGTGAGCATCTGCTTGGAGATGAAAATAATTGCTTCCAGATGTTCCCATTTCAAGAGGAGACATTTACTTTAAGCAGCACTTGCTTTCAAAGCAAAAGTTGGGTTTTCTGGATGCAGAGGAATGGTCAAAGCTGTTTCAAATCAGTGAAGTTCCATTGAAAACAAAGCTAGTTGGCTGTTTTGTCTATTTTAAGTCATGAGGTTTATGCCAGTTTGCTCTTGCTGGGAATCTGATTCCCCAGCTTCAGAGCAAATTGKAAAAKTTTGTTKGAGCTGRTTAAAACAAACAAAYAAACCCAAAGAGCTGCGTTCATGCTGGCTCAGAGCAGGTAGTGCCTCTGTTCTCACATGGAGGTTCTGAACTTGGGAGAGAGGAGTGAGTGTGGATAACTGAGGGTGATTTTGGGGTCTRTCTAGGAAAAATCAGGAGTAATGCCAGATGGTGCACTCACAGGATAGATCTTTTGTTTAAAATCCCCAGAGGGATGCTGTGGCTCTTTGCCTTAAGAAATCTTCCTCCCATATCATGAAACACCATTTCAGTGTCCAAAAAMAATTCTAAATGTTGTTTTAGTTCAGCAGTGAAGAGTCTGTCCATGGGGCCAGAGTTGCCTCATCCTGKTTGTCTTTCTGATGTTCAGTGGCCTTATTTCATATCAAAGTTCTCATTTTTAACTACGTTGTAACCTGCAGCAGTCTGCTATCTTCATCTGCACAGATCCTATTCYATTCTGGACTGGACTGTGCCTCTCAAACTTGTGCAAATCAGTGTTTTGCTGGAAGTCAGGAGAGTTATTTGTAATTGTAATTTGTAATTTGTAATCACCTGTGTAGAAAGCAGCCCCTCCTGGGATTTCATCAGTTGACTCCTCTTAGAGTTTCTCAATACAAAAAGTCAGGGCAGTATCTTTTCCTGATCAGTGCTTGTTTTAGTTCATCTGGAGAAGAAAAAAGCCAAAACCATGAGGTTACATTTCTGTTTGTTTTCCCATCCATACACAAATACCATTTCCAATGTCAGCAGGATTGGGCATGGCACTGGGAATAGTGGGTGGCTCRGATAATTGGTGTTGCAATACAGATGTGAGTTTAGTGCTATTTTTAATTTGTGCAATATTCCCCACCAGACTAAAATAACTTACGTGTAGAACAGATTGGGGGTTTGAAACAAACTCTAATTTTTGAAATAACCTTTGTGGCTTCCTTGGCTCCAAACCAAGGTGTACAATGTGCTGCACAGTCTGGGGAAGAGGATGAGATGAGAAAGGAGTGATGCACGTGGTGATTTCTGATCCCTCAGTCACTTCAGTGTAGATCCACATCAACTCTGGCAGCTTCAGTTAAATCACTTCCCTTAATTCAAAGCACAATCTGCTGTGATTCCTCAACGTGTTTCATATGATCAACACACTAATGGGATTTATGAATTGCCATAAAATCTTTTAACCATCTRGAAACCTAYGTWCTTTTGTAAAAATAAATCAATTAGRCATGTGGAAAGCTACGAATCAATTTTTCAGTGAGGCTTAAACTCCCGAATGGAATTTTTTCTTTTTGGACATAGAGATGATAGAGGCATTTCATGTATGTAATGAACTGCTAAATTCTGGATGATTTCTTGCATTGGCTTTCTCGAAAAGTGCAGATTCAGTGAGGGTGTGAATATTGGCTGTTCTCCACACACAGTGATAYAACTCCATCCAAAGTCTGGAAAGCCAACCT